GAACGCAGAAAGGACGAGGGCGTCAGGTCGACTTTTCTGACGACCCGCCTGTGGCCCAGGGCAAAAAACCTTCTCGTCACTGCAAGGAGAAAAACAGCGCAAAAGACATACATACATACGCACGTACATGCACACACACACACACATATATATATACACACATGCGTGCATGCGTGCATACATGCATACCTACGTACGTACATACATACACGCATACACGCTTACACACATACATACATACATACACATACATACATACATGCATACATACATACATACATACATACATACATACATACACACATACAAACAAACAAACAGACATACATACATACATACATAGTTACATACATACAGACATACATTCATACATACACACATACATACTTACACACGCATACATACAGTCGTGCATACATACATACGTACGTACACACACACATACATGCATGCATACGCACATACATACATACACACATACATACTTACGTACATCCATACATACATACATACGTGCCTGCGTACACACATACCTACGTACACATACATACATACATACATACATACATACATACACAGACATACATACATACATACATGCATACATACATGCATGCATACATACATACATACATACACACTTACGTACTTTCTTCGGCACGTACATACAGTGCACATGTGGAAGAACAGATGTTGCCAAATGATTGAGGTGTTGGGCGTTTGATTCATTTTGAGTAGCGAAACAACTCGGACTTTTGTCCACAGGTCCCCGCGTATCCTCGTGTCCAGAGCCCGCAGGCAATGACACCGGTCGTGTTTTGCCTCGGTTGACTCGTTCTTTTGCTTGCGTTTGATTGGACATTGGAGCTTAGGCCGATGATTCTTCTGATGTTGAAGGGCTCTATCCGGGTTGATAGCTGATAGTTTCATGTCTTTTATCAGTAGAGGTGATGCAGCAATCCTGGCAACAAACCAGCGTGCGTGGACAGAACCTGTCATTTGCGTCAAGATTTTGCTTGGAACGACGGTCGACTGAAACTCTTGTGAGCCACTGGCAAGGCTTGGTGGTTCGAGTGGGGTTTCAACAGGATCCTTGGATTCAAGGTGTGTCTCCTGTCAGCTGTAGTTCTTTTTGGTTCAGTGCATTTTTTCCGCCTTCAAAACTTGAGTAGTTCTATTTCAGTGTGGGGCATGTGGAACCGCGAAGCTTCAAATTTTCTAGTTGAACATCGCATAACCAGCTGTGGATCCAACATTGGATAGAATTTGTGTTGAGGTTGATACTAGCGGGCAGTATCTGAACAAGTGGATGCCACTGAAATCTGAAAATTACTGTTAGCATTTGAACTCTCATTCCGATGCTGTTCCAGTTCCCTTCAGAAGCAACAGTTGCTGTAGTGACCCTCTTATGTTTGGCCAGTCCAAGAGCTCTGTAGCCCAAATCCCTGTGCAACAAGCCTCTTTGAAAGACAGTTGCGAATATCAACGGTATTCAATACCTTGCAAGTGCCCAACTCATTTCTCCACAAACCCAGGAGTGGCTGGGATCCCAAGCCGGTGGCAGCCTCTACACCTGCAGCTCCGATTCGGGCCGGGAACAGGGCTTGTGAATTGGGAGTTCAATGCTGCAGTGCTGTATCGACCTCACTGAAAGTCCTAGAATTGTTTCATATTCAATGCTTCTTGGAATGTACCAGACAGATGGGTTACACCGAAAGAACCCTGTATTGTGAGTTTGCTTGAGCCAACAGGCGAGGCATTGTCAATCCTGCATATGCTTTGCTGTTCGTTGCGCCCGAAAAGCTGTCCAGGCACTGCGCAATGCACGCATCGAGTCGAGCGACATTGTGAGGGGCAGAAACACCACCATCTGGTCCCTGAGCTTGAGTAGCTGCACCCAGCTCGGGATCACAGACACATTCAGCCAAGGCTGTTTATCGAGATCGTCACGCGCATTGAACCGGAGGGATCCCTGGAGGCCGGGCACCAATCTTGGAGAGCTCGGAGGCCTGGTCTTTTTCTTGGACAGGTGATTTGGCCGTACCACCACATGGATATCTTCAGCTATCCTGTCCAGGCCTCAAGGCTTCGCAGCTTCGCTTGAAGAGCGTGAGCCATTTTGAGCCCTTGACCGTGTTGCCCCACGCCTTCAGCCCAAGGAGTGGCTGGAGAACGTGCGGTATAGCCATGTCAGGGCAGCTACAGCGCAGACCCCGGATCTGCCGTGGGACATGCAGGTTCAATTCAAAATAACAATCCCACATTTTGACTTTCAGGGCATTGCCAAACCTGAATGCAAGTCACTACAACTTCAACTGACGTATTTCCGTTCCGTTTCTCGTCTTACCTCACTTAAGGAGTTGGTTGACTGTGGCAGACATTCACATAGAGTGCTCAAAGAATCGATCGAGCCCGCACAGTCTCCTCTTTCAACTCTGATGCTGCTGTAGCTTTTGGACTTGTCCAGTGTATTCCAGAGTACTCTTTGTCCGCACTTTTACACCACTCACAAATTCGCTCGCTACGAAGCCAATGGAACTGAGGAGCTGGGTTCGAAGCCCGCCCCATCTTCTCTCCGACTCCGGTGCGATCGATGGGCTGGTTACAATTAGTTTGACTCCGGGATGAGCTGGAAGAGTAGAGGTTGGAAGAGCGGTGCCTTAGGTGCACGGGTTTCATGCGTGGAGTTCTTGCACAATTGCGGGGGCGCCCCTTTTCCTTTTCAGGGCCTGACAACCCTGACAGCCTAAAAAAAGGGTGCCTGTTGTAGCAAGATCGAGAGATGGAGAGCTACATAATGGGAATAAACATATCTGACATATCTGATTTTTTTTTATCGGGGGTTGCTTTGGCCCTGGTTTTGTCTCATCCCCCTTTTCTGGTGTTGTTTTACTTTTCTTGGTGCATCCATCCTCCTAGACAAGCCAAGCCAGTATGCCAGGTACATTGCCTTCATTTCGGCCCTAGAGAAGGTGGGGGTGATGGGACGCTTCGGTATCAGAATCATGGTATCGATTGAAGGTTGCAGTATATTTACTTTTGAATGGACGGTGATGGTCTAGCCTGTGCCCTTTGCCTGCAGTATATGTTGGGCTGAAACGTTGCCCTTTGTTTTCATGTCAATGCAGAGCAGTGAACGAACACTTTGCAAGGAGTGATGTGTTTTGGACATAGGTGGATTTTCTAGTGGGTGAAGCAGCTGCTCCTCCTTTAGAGTCTACTTTGGAGTGCAATTTTGCAGCTGCTTCATTTGCTAGCTGGATTCAAAGGCGATCGATTGTGCCTTTGGTTTGCAGGGTGAAGCTGGCCACATGCGTAGGAGATGGACATACAAATAGGAAAGTTCAGCAAGGAAGCGCAAAGGCAGCGTGACCTTTGAACATTGGTTCCGATCGGAAGTCTGAAGCATTTCCAGAAGTCTGAAGCCCATTTTGATCCATCTTGCACCTTTACATGTAACCCCGCTAGCTGAAGCCAATTCAAAGAGGTCACACGGGTTAAGTTCTTGGTACCTATGGACGAGGATACTGCAGAGTTCAAATTAAGTACTTAAAACCCTCTTGAGAGAGAGAGGGAGAGAGATAACTAATATAATATATATATACACATATTATACTATCGGTACATATGGCCTCCATCGGCAACCCTTGATTGTGCATGTGGGTGAGAAAGTGCGGGCTTGGATGCCAGCTTGGGGATTGGCTGACCCCACCCTTGGGCGAGCTGCGGTTGGAGTTCCGAGCAAACACCTCAGGTGCTGAGCTAAGTGCCTTTCTTTGTTAATGGAACTACTAGCGATGGCCTCCAACCTAAGAGCGATGGCCTCCAACCTGAGTGCCTTTCTTTGTGTGTGCCGCATGCTTGTGGTTGACTCGTTTCACTCCTTTCCGACGGCCTCTCAGATTCCTAGCTTTGCCATGCTTTACCTTTGCCAACAAGGTTGTTGCCAAGACAGTGTCTTTCTTAGGCTTTGACCCTGGACTCTACATTTTTGAGATCAACGCCACCAATCCTCCGATGGCGGCGGTGGGATAACAGTGTTCCGATGTTGAGTTTCTGGAGCGGCGTTTGTTTTCGTTTGTTTCCGCACACAAGGGACAGGCTGAGATTCATAAGAATATATTGAATCATTGCGGAGACGCCACTCTTGTAGTCCGAAACAGGCCTCAGAGATGTGCCCGTGCCAGGCGAATCCAGCGGTCGCTTCTTCACCATGCAAATTCAAGGGGTGCATTTCTTGGTACAGCAAGTCGGTGCCTGGGTCTTGCAGTTGGCAAATTGTCTACAGTGCCTCCTTCGTCTTTGCGATGGTTAGAATAGGATTGCAAAGTCTTGGTTGTGACATACTGCCTAGGCAGAGAACGCACCTTCGGAAAAGACCCGACCTGTATTCTTTGTTTCACGATTCGGGTCCATTGACTAGTCACTCACAAGATAGGAAAGGAGCACACTTTTCGACTCATGCTATTCTGATCCGAAAGATTGCGGCAGAGGTTGAACACCCTGACACACACACACATCACATGTATAATATACTCTAGAATGGACAATCAATGACAATCACAAATTTACTGACAGTATATGTGTTGGTACACTACGAGTACAAGGAACAAGCATTCATTCTAGCAAATCAATCAGATCATCAAACGGATATGCATTTTACAGGGTGTTAATCAACCCTGGAAGAACTGATTTGGCAAGCCTTGTTGACGATTCTAAGTTTGAGCCTCAACCAGGATCACAAGTAAGTGATAATTACGTTAAAACCACTTTGAACTTTTAAAGCAAATGCAGTGAATTGTAGTTTCGTTTCTTTTTGTCAACACAACATAAATCCATCACCCTATGAAACTGTGCCTTTGGCCGCTGAAGTAAGTGTTAGTGTTTTTCACTACTCAAATGCAAAGCAAGTAGAGGGTACTAGACTTGCCAGCTAAGCTTTCTTGTGGGGATTTCCTTGTTGCAATGAGTTGCACATTCAAGGAGCTTTTCAATCCAGTCCTCTACAACCCGTGCAGAGCTTAAGGGTTTCTTCTCATGTGATCTTCGGATTGAACATGCGTCTTCTCTTTTTCCTTTTCTCTTGCTCTCTTTAGCTTAAACAATTTTTTTTGTCCTTCTTCTTTCTTCCTTTCTTTATGCTTGGTTGAAGGTCTTGTCGGGGCTGTAAGGGCTAGATTTGCTCAACAAATGCAATCCTTTAAGATACTTTAAGCCTTATATAAGTGTTTTCAATGTGTTTTAGGGACTGCTCGTCCAGACAATCTCCACATTCTGTCCCGGCCGAACGCCAGGCTGACAGGCGTTTGGACTCATGACGACCAGCCGGTGAACATGTGGCAGAAGCAGTATGACTATCGATACTCGCCACAGAAGGAAGAGATACTGCCAATTGAGCCGATATGTTGCTTACCAGATATGTTTGCTGCTTGCTGTTCAGATCTCGTAGCAACACATTTGAACATGTACCGTGTTCATCGGTGTTCATCTAGTCACAACCTTCGGGTGTTCTCCACTGATGTCACCGCTGAGGAACCTCGGTGAAGGCTCACCAGATCGCCAACCCCATGGCCATCGCTGCAGTGGCTCCTGGGCCCAGCGGAGACAGCGGAGACTTTTCCGTTCTTTCCTGATGAATTATGGGCCTGCCGCCTGGGCTGTTCTTTTGGGAAACTTGCGTTTGACGAACAACAGTGGTAAGAAGTTGGGGTGGGCAATTTGTTGTGACTTTGAAACTTGAGGCGAAGACCAATTTGGTTGAACACATTGAACATCTGCTGAGTGAACGGGCCTTTGCACTAGCATGCTCTTCACCGATGACATGCTGGATTTTTGGTGGAGTAAGCAGATAAGCCCTTGACTTCTTGTCAGATAGGATTCATGACTATAATACTGCTCTATCTATGCTTATTCTTCAATTTAATTTCAAACGCCATAGCTTTGTCAAGAGCTTCCTGACCTGACTGAGCCAACGTCTGGACCGTCTGGAAGTTGACGAATGCAAGTGATCACCCTGGCAAGCTTACACAAGACATTCCGACTTATTGGTATTCCAACTCTTGGAAGCCTTCTTGATTCTTGATGTGGTGGGCAAGATAGATACAACTCCCCAAATCTCTGAGTTGAACGGGGTGGAGTTTTTCTTTTCTTTTTGCGGGGAACTCCAGCAAAACCAGATACAACACCCCAAGTGCCCCGTGTTGCCAAGGTCAACCTCACGTTGGATGAACGTTTGGCCTGTGGCCGGGACGACCGGCCTCTCCGCCGGAGTGTCCTGAGACCCAACCGAGACGGACGGTCGGATGCGTCGGGGGTGACTGGTACAGTCCGCGTCGAGCGGCTGAGGCCACTCTCAGTCTTGAAATAAGAAAACACAAATCTAAAAACACAACATAGACAGTTTTAAAGTTAAAAAACAAGTAGATAATAACAAAGCTTTGATCGTATTTTTATAGTTATTACTATTATTATTTAAGTCTTGGTATATCCACACACTTTGGAGCTTGGTACTTAGTACTTGGTCTATTGGCAGAACACTTTCCATCAGTTCTGGAAGAGAAGACAAATTATGCACCCTTTGGGAGTGGTTGAGCAGAAAACTAAGAGCCTCAAAACTGTTCCATCTAGCCAAAACGGTGTGCGCTGAACCCCGTTTGTGTGCTCCCCCCTGTTTGCTCGACTCGAGATACACAAGCAAGGCAAGCAGTGCACTGCTTGCTACAACAGACTCTACCAAGCTGCTGTAGAAGCGGAATCTTGCACACGCGCAATGTGTACAACGCATGAAGAGTTTGGGGCTATTGATGTTCGTCTACACTTTGGACGCATGTGCGTATTCTGAAGTAGCTGAGGCGGTTGTGATTGGCTTTGCGCTGGACCAGTATGTATCCAGATCTGAGGAAGTGTTGTGCTGCTGGCATGATTGATCTGGGCTAGTCAGTCCTCATACATTCAAGGGTCGGCCTTTGAGGAACTTCCTTGCAACTGCCACTAGAGAACTGCATCAAGAGGGCTCCACAAACCATGGTGGACTCTGCGAGAATGAACAAGCACAGTTGGAGAGAGGGTTCCATCTTGAACTCGGAGATCGGCGAGAGCAGGCTTAACTGGCCCCTCCGGTGGGATGACTTTGTGAACGTCACACTGGGACTTGTATTTGTGCTACTAGTCCTCTAGGGTACAGCTCAAGATGTTGACGATGTTCCTGCTGCTTGCCAACTTCAGGGTCCTGCGGTGCGCAACTGAACAGATAGCTGATAGCTTTTGTTTGTGTTTCTGGGAGTTCTGTTGACCACACTGGTGGGAATTCGGGGCTTCGCTGTGCTCGGGCCGCAGCTCGCTGCCAGGGAGATTCGGGCACCCATTGGTTGGCTCTTCGACTCGGACTGCCAAGTTAAAACAGATCCGCAGGAGGCAGTGCACGGATTTTACACAGAGCAATAGAGCGGCTTTGTTTCTTCTTTGTTTTAGCCCGCCCTTACTTAATTGAGTTGGTGCCTACTTAATGAAGTAAGGGCAGTGGATGCAGGATAGCGCTCGCACTTTGATTCTTAGTCTCTTGTGGATTGAGTCCTGGGTGTAATCACAAAGCATGTCCACAGTGCTTGTCATCTCTCATGGCAGATCTGAACGTACCTCACATGAGCTTGTTCGGCAACTTTGGCTTCCTTATGCATCTTCTTTTTACTTTGAGGAAGCCAACGTATCAAGCTTGAGTTCCGATACCCAGAGCCCGCAAGCCAGGTGTATCCGCCACCTGCAGAGAGGCAGGGCCTTCAAAATCCCCATGCACTAGAAAGGCATTGTCGCTCAAAGATCAGTTCGAGGGACTGCCCTTTGGGTCAAGTCTCATGGAGCCTCAAATAGCGAAATGGTCGAGTATACCTTTTCTATCCTTTTCTCCTCCGTGTCCAAGTCCGGTGCCAAGCATGCTCCGTGTGTCGGTGGATGGGACGGGAGGGATGATGTACAGCCGAAGGGTCGAAAGCAAAGGGGTGTGAGTTCAACCATTCGGCGCTGGTGACGCTGCTCAAATGTTTTCTTGGTGTGTGAGCGAGCAGTGTGTGTGTTTTTTCGTTTTTTCATTTGCCATACTCTTGCAGCAAAATTTGCGACAGCAGAACTCACAGAGTGCTGAGTAAGGCGAGTGCCAAAGTCAAACAACAACATGTTGTCGCTCGTGTATACATATATATATATACATATTGCTTCCTCCTTCTTTCCACTGATGATGCAAGTCAAGCCATGGTTGCAATCCCTGCGCGTAAGCTAGACCATGGATCTGTGATTCTGAATGTTGTGCCGTTGTTGGAAGATCATTGAAAGACAACACAAGAGCAAGTCAGCTAACAAACAATACCACAAGTGGAACATTGATCTCATGTCTTGGGACTTTGCAGCTTCTGCGTTGAAATTTAAAAATTTTGTTGAATTGCAGTGGTTTGTATCTTTACAATTTTCAGGTTTATGTCCGAAATTGGACGTGTTGCACATTTGCAGTCCTTGGAGTTCTGCGTTCTGCAAGAATGTAGATACTTGGGAAAGGACGGACAACGTCGACCAAGAACGGTGCTGATTCAGCGGTTTCTGACTGACAACCACGAACAACATGTATATAGATATAGAGTATAGAGTATTTTGTGCAGTGCAACATTGAAATAGTATAAAGGCCAGATGTGCAAGGCCAGCTGTGATATCCTTGCTGAACAACACGCCTGAGCTGTTGGGCAGCCCAGCTTGTGGGAGACCGTCGTAATTGATACGAAACATGACAGCTCTCAGCTTGTTTTGTTTGCAATTGTTTTGGACCCTTTCCTTCTGGATTCGGATGCTAACCATGTTCAGTTTGGCTACTGCGCCATTCCACTTTCTATGCATTGCATTTAAGCCGGACTTGCTGACTCTGTCCTGTCCTCAGGACAGTGCATGACTGGCCGGCATCAGCACGCATCATCACTTGCCGCGGAGACTCGCACATAGCACAGGGCCAAGCAATTGGGTGCTCATCGAAGAGGGCGATGGATTGTACTCGAGAAGGAATGTATATATATATATATGTATAATGAGTCAATCTTCTCAAGTCATCGGCGGTCTTCAATTCAACTTATGATGGCAAATCAGGACACGTGGAATGCGCCCGGATATGCGATGGTTTCTGTTTATTCTTTGTGAAGAGACAGTTGGAAGTTAAGTGTAATTAGCAGAAACAAGAAGCTACTAGGAACAAGTGCATCGCTTCTAGTAACAAGTGCCCTACTAGTAGTAACAAGAAGCTAGTAGACACAATAAATGAGAAGAGACAGTTGGAAGTTAAGTGCTCAACTAAAGGGTTGCTCGTATGGACTGACCTTTGGCTCCGGTCACTAGGCCTATGTGCGGATTGGACCAGGACTTGATCGCAGAAGGCCAGGCTTTTCACTTGGTAGGCGTGTTCCGTGTTAAAGGGGTAGTGCCAACTTCTAGAATTTGTCAAATACTTGGTTCAACCGTCATGCAGCAGGGTGAAAGGACTGGCTTGAAGTATTTTTGCTGCGTTGATATGTGGGACTCACAAATGTAGACGTATTCAGATCATGTATTGCTGCTGTGACCAGGGTGTACCTGTTCCGGATTGAGATCAAACAGAATCCTGTGTGCAGCTGAGCTGAGATCCTGCAAGCCAGTTATCCGACTTATTTGGCATTTCTGCTAAGGAGCTGTGACTGACGCCCTGTTTATATAGTCATATAGTCCTTAAATCTCCACAGCCTTGAACTGCTTTGTTGCACTGTGGAATCAAGGAACAACTTCGTGCAAACAGCTGGAACATCAAGGACATTAAGAATCCTCCTTCCTAGGAACACAGCTGTGTAGACCGTTGAACACTGACGCTACGCATGCTACGTGCTGAGTTTTTTCCTTCAACAGTGCAGCACAGATACCTGAGTACGAATTAAGATATAGATACTATATATATATATATGGGATCCATACAATAATACACTCCAATCAAAAGTCCCAGATGGAAGGCAGGAATCCAGAGGTGTTTGAAGGCAGAGACCCTCTTTTGTTCTGCGAGGAGTTACTTGGCCTCACTGCCCCATCAAGACATCTATAGAAACGGTGTCCTGTGTCACATCGGAGCCCCTAGTAGCTTCTTGTTACTACTAGTAAGGCACCTGTTCCTAGTAGC